TCGGGATACGCCCAGAGTCACGGAACGGATTAAGTTCATATCCCGAGGTACCACTGTATATATTTTCACTGTTTTCACTCACATCACCTCAGCAGTTTGCTATAGCTGGTCAGGAATTTTAGTAAAAATAAATTTTACTGTGATCACTGACCAACTCAAAAACAGAAATAAAACTAATTCTGAAACAGCAAGTAAATACCATAGTAAAACTTAATAATTATAAAACTGATGTTGTCAAAGTATGGTGTATTTTACAAATAGCAAAACAAAATTTAGCCACAGAGAAATAAAATCACAATGACAGCAACAATGGATTCTGGAACTCTGACTAAAAGGAGAGTTAATAGCTATAATAAGGGCAATATAGCAAAACATGGATTAATGTTTCAGCAACTCCTTCACCACAGCAGCGGTCTTCATTCAAATGGGATGCCCCATAATTTCCCCTCAATTATAGCTGTTGGAAGGATGTTAAATCATCCCAGGGTTAAGGCTCTTCTGAATTTGGGACCCGTTATGTGGCTTATATATTTAGATGGCTTGGAAAAAGGTGAGCAACTACCCAAGAATGCCCATCTTTAAGCATGGAAGCCAGGTCAGATTGGGCTTCCAAATCCTTGGCACATTGTTTAAGGGATGCCACTGCATGTTTATATCCCATCAGCATGATTGTAGCAGGTGAGTAAAACTCTTAATTTTTCAGTTTCTCATTCAATATCCTATCCCAAGATGAAACAAGCCATCAGTTAAACCCAGAAGCGTTGAGCCCACAGGGAAAAAACCGAACATTAGGCAGTAAGAGAGGACACATGTCCAAATATGAGTTTCAGTTTTGGTCACACCAGCCTCATGGTGCAAGGCACATTCGGAACAAATCACAGGACTTGAAATATGTTTCTTAAAAATTTAGATTGCACCCTTTCTAAAAGGCTAGATATCACTTGCCTACAGAAAGTCACAAAGTTACATTTTCATCACTACATAGCCTTAGTAATGCCAAAAGCTGGGACTGCAGAATAAATTGTTGCAGGCTTCTAGAAAGTTGTCATACCTATCAAAGATTGGCATCAACATTGGCCTCATGAATGCCAATGTATTAACGTTACTTTCAACTGGACGTAATGCAAGCCAAATTGGTCACATCAGGGGTGTTCTAATCATACCGGTAGGAGTCTTTTAGTCACCTGATTCACATGGGACTGCCGACAGCACTGCCCTTCTTTATACGTTGCTATAAATAATGATTGCATATTGCAGTCCCTCCCAGTACTACTTCCAGCTGTCGTCTTAGAATTGTTTTGCAGTCAAATATTAATATGGATTGTGAAAGTTCCAAAAATCTACCTATGTGGTCGTTAAGAGCAGACGACGACTTGATGACACATCATCATCATCATCAAAGTTCCAAAACGGTTGGTTGGATCAATAAAGACTTCAAAGTACCTTTTAATACTGCCCATTTTCACAGATGAAGAATTATCTAGCAAAAAGCCCACAGAAAAGTTGAATGAATCAATGCAAAAAGTGTCCTATCCCAAGTTAAAAAACAAATGTAGAAAAATGTGTTAAGAATAACCTCTTAGCTCTCTGCTTTCTTCTCTAGGGAGCCACAGGCTTGTGCTTTCTTCCTTGTGCTCGCTGGGTTTTAGAGGCACCAGAAAGCTGGCATAGCTGGTTAGCAAGCATGGCCTCTCCTAGAAAGGATCCCATCATCACAGGCATCAGAGAGGTACCAGTGCCTACTGGCAAAGACAGACTGCTGGACAGGATTCAGAAGAATAAAAACTTACTTCTTGGTGGAGTGATGTACTTTGCTACCTCTGATCACTGGGTTTTCTCAGATGGCATTGGTGATTGGCAAGTTTGGTCCCTCTAGGAAAGGACTCCATTACTAGCAGGAATTGGTTGGGTCAAAGTTGTGGTTTGCGGAGAATAAACTGTTAGTTAGGAGAGATAGCAAAAGCAGAATGGCAAGCCAGAGAGAAAGATATGTATAGGTAGTCCTCACTTAATGACAATTGGGACTGGCAACTCTATCACTAAGCAATGTCATTAAGTGAGACATGTGACTGGAACAGGCTTACAATCTCACTTCTGTGGTCGCTAAGTGAATCACCCACAGTTGTTAAGTGAGACATGTGACCACGACTTGTGATTTTACTGCCAGCTTTTCCACTGACTGCTTATCAGAAGCTGGCTGTGAAGTATGCAAATTGTGATCATATGACCATGGGATGCTGCAATAATCATAAGTGTGAGGACTGGTTGTAAAGTTACTTTTTCAGCACCATAACAACTTCAAATGATTGCTAAATGGGGCAGTCATTAAGCGAGGACTACCTGTACAGAGAAAGGACCATTTGTATCCTTGCCACCCCATCCCCATTTTTAGACTAGTAGAAATTTGGTATCTGTGTTAGCTTGGCATCTATTCATTGTTAAGTGAGTTACACCTGCTCCAATTATGCAGAATTTAAAATGTCACCCTTTAGCCCATATTCAGGGTGTTTAGAGCTGAGCTGAGCTCCCAGCTGTATTGGCAGAACCAGCATAGGAATGTAACATTTTATTAGCAAGAAACAGGAAAGGTAGAGGATATGGCTCACTTAAGTTGAAAGTCAGTGAAGCCCAAAGTAATATTAGCCTTGTTACCTTAAGAGGTGATAGGCAGAGTGTAATAAGGTAATCCGTCACGTTGGCCAGCTGCTTATGTTAATGTCAGGCCATCACACCATTTGACCCTCAGCATTCTTTCTATTTGTTATTGAAGTGGCAACATTGTATAAAATTATAATAAAGCACTTTAGGGCAACGCATTTTAATGCACTGCTTCAAATCACACAGCGCTGGGGGGGGGGGGATGACTCAACTGAAGCTTCATTAAATCAAATCAGCCATCCAAAGCAATACATGGCCCTAACAATTCTATTATTAAATCTTCATATTGTTTAAAATAATTCTTCCTCAGCTCAATTTGGCTTATTATTCCAGAAGAGTTACAATGATTGCCTGAAAAGCATACTCATTTGTCAGAAAAAGAGAAACAGTTTTACCAAATGTATCTTTGCATTCAAAATCTTGTTAACTATTTAGATGCTACCATGTGGAAAAGAGTGTACAGGAAAATCTGGGAAAGGGAGGGGAAAATGTCAGATCTAGAGACCAAATTATTAACACATAACACAATACTCTGTACTTAAAATATTAAAAAAAAACTTTCAAAAAATGACAAAGCAGCTAAACCCTAATAATTCAATGGAAAGTTTTAAACATGTGTTTAATAAAAAGGCAGTACAAACCTATGTAATATACCCAACAGCCCTACACAAGCATTTGCCTGCACACAACTAATTAAGTTAGGACACATAGAAGGTGGAATTTAATCTGTATCTTTAACGGTCATGTTGTGCTACTTACTAGTTAAATGTTTAGCATGAAGATTTGCAAAGATTCCATGTGCTTATACCGATTATTTGTACATATTAATGCTAAATGTGCTGCAATCTAGCAAGCAGGTTGGTACTTGGAAACTGAGCTTAGGTTTGCATCCATGTTACCCAACCCAGTTAGTTTATCATATGAGTTGGCTTCTAGCCTAAAGCACAAACAGCCACATGATATCAGCAGTTTATAGCAGTTAGACATATGGCATGTTCCCAATACTTGGTATTTTACTACAATAAAAGGTGAGGAATGAGCTCACCTTGTTGGGATCTAAAAGCTATAGCAGCTTATTATCATATGTAGCATTTGCAAAACTTGACAAGTGATAATGATCCTGCTTCATTTCAGCAGCTCTTTCCTTTATCACTACAAAAATCTCAATGTAATACTAGTTCAGAATCAGACAAAAAGTTGAAATTGATTCACATACATTTTTGCTTGAACATAGCTTTACTTGTGACATGAACTGATAATTACACTAACTATAAAGGATACATCTGAATTCAGTCTATTCGTATTGCAGATCACTTTCCCTTAATTTTTTTACTGGTGAAAAGAGACGCATTCCTTATCTTCAGAAAGCTCTATCACTGCTTGTAGCAGGTAATAAATAATAATTTTTCTACAAGACAAAGGGCCCACATATTTAGTTAATAGAAAACATCACATATTTAAACAAGCTTTGAAACACGTTAGCATTTATTAGATTGAGTCATAACTCAAGATAAGACTGAAAACTATTTAAGAAACTCCCGCGTAATAAAAAAGAGAAACCAGAGCATTTAATTTAATTATTTAAGCATTTAATTTAAATCCATTTAAATATTTAACCAGAGTAATAAAACTATTTAAGAAACCTAAATCTCTTACATAAGCCATTAAATGAGCTATGAAGAATACAGAAATAATTAATGCATACTGGAAACATTTATGGATAAAAGAATGTGTGACAGGACATCCATCAGAATAATATTCTATGCTGGTAACTCTCAAAGCTTTACCCTCCATAAATTGCTTTTTATACCCAGTGAGGCTTAAAGTTATTTTAGACATTCTCTTCTCAACTCTCATCAATAAAGCTATACTAATATACTAATGCAGGCTTTCACAGCCAGTGTCAATCCAATGTTGATGAGCTTCCAGGCTAATAGGCTGTGGTCTAATTAGATTATCTGAGAAATCTGCTACAGAGCAGATCACTGCCACCTCTGAAGATGCCAGCCACAGTTGCTGATGAATACCAGGATACCAGGAATTAGACAGTCTAACAGTCTATTAGCCCAGAAGCTCATAATCACTGGAAAGATATACAGGTAGACTTCGACCTATGACCATTCATGCAACCATTCGAAGTTACAACAGCGCTGAACAAATGGTGGTTACAACCAGTCCTCAAAGTTCTGGCCATACCAGCACCCCTGCAGTCATGTAATCACGATCTGGGTGCCTGGCAACTGATTTTCACTTACGACCGGTTGCAGCACCCCACGATTGTCATTTGCAACCTTCCCTGCAAGTCAATGGGGAAGCCAGCAGAGAAAGTTGCAAGTCACTGGGGTAAATCTCCCCCACCCACATGCTCTCCCCCAGCCCCTCTGCATTCGCATTGCGCTGGCCACTTGTGCACCCCCGTGCACCCTCACTGACCTGTGTGCTTGTACACCCAACCCGTGCCGCACCTCCATGCACCCTCAACCCTTGCTGCACCCCTTCACTCCTTCCCCTATGACAACATTGCTTAGTGACAGAAATTCTGATCCCAATTGCCATAAGTCGAGGAGTACCTATATTAAGTTTTAGTAGGTTTTATAACACAGTTTTAATCACATGTACCCTTTGTGTATTTATAACCATCGTGTGAATGATTGCAAAAACAATTATTGAATTATAATAACTCAATCTAAACCATACAACACTTCGCAGATATAGAAAAATGCTATGAAAAAACTGTCCTTGATCTACGTAATAATGTGACATAGGAAGGAACAATAGCTGCTCCTGAAGAAAGGTACTTTGCTACACAGAAACACAGCATTCTCTTCCCATTGTTAAAGAAGCATGCTTTTTGCAAAGTTGAGCAGCTTCTGAAACTCCACCTGGCTGTCTCCTCACTCATATACCTAGATAGCCACTACATATACCTCTACTGTACTTTCACTGTAAAGCCCATCCCCCAATATTTTGGTGGGAAGGTGGCTGGAAGGACCTTCTGTCTATAGCTTTTAGTTTTGCACATATACTTGGGCGCAACATCACAATACAACTACAAAAGGTTGGAGCTTGCATCATGACATCATTTTGCCATCATCGTGATTAAGAATGCACACCTATGCTGCAAGCTTCACTATATAATAAATCTGTACTGTTAATTTAAATGTCAGTTAAATTCTTTCCACAAACTCAGTTTTACATTCAAATACTTACTGGATTTTCCAGTACAACAGGGTGATCAGGAAGAAATTCTGGCTTCTTTTGGGCAAGTGAAACCCCTGAAAGTTTCAGAAGGAAATCTCTGCTATAAGTTATTCTTTCTGCCAACACAAAATTTGATTACTGGAAAATGAGAGGAACACTGATATACAAATCAGGTATCTTCCTATGAAAATCAGTAGCTAGATACTTTTTTGCAAATATTTTACAAAAGTATTTTAGTTAGCAAATCTGTATCATTAAAAGCAACAAATTATGGTTCTGGATATTTATATAGCTATCATTTGAATTATAATGAGTATGCATTCTACACTCAATGGTATAGTAATTTATACACGGTTTTAAAGTTCAATGTCTAGTGTTGTGAAGAGATTGGAAATGACATACAGCCAATATATGGCTTATCCCATGAGCTTCTGAAGTATAAATACCACTCTTGCAGTAAGCACGACATGCTAAAGGAGCTCCTGAATAAAAATTCATTTTAATCTCTCAGATAAATCCCAAATATTTATTAAATTGAAAAATGCTAGAAAAGTCTAAACCTATAACCTGAAATATACTTTGTGTAATTCTTCATGGCATATTTAGAATTTGTAATGTTTACCTTTTGTGACTTCATGTTTTTGCTGCTCTGACAGACTAGAAATCACATTTTCATTTAAGACCAGCATTCCATTAGATTTACACATCTAAAATTAAGTGTACATAAATATATTATAATACACATATTTTGTATATTGATTTACAAGATTCTAGGAACTTCTGGTAATCCATACAAGAGCACACGTTTTATTTAAGATTATGATTCAGTTAATACATTTTTTAAAAAAAATTAAAAAGATACCACATGTAGTATTAATAGTGAAGAGCACCACCAAAACAGCCCAACTGTAGAAACACTCAAACATTTCAAGCTTGTTTCACCATAGCACCCAAACATTAACTGTATTACAAATCAATGAAGTTGGCAGTTATGTAGTCACAGCATACAGCATGGGAGGAAAAACAAGATTTATTCAAATTCTATCAGAACATTTTCACAGGCATACATGAGAAAATGCTGTTAAGACTGTCAGATCAAAATTGTCACATATACTGATTCTCTGATTCTTCTTTACTATTTTTAATGCACCATTTATATTTTGAAAGAACAAGATACAATCTACTCACTACAAACATAATTTAAGAAATAGCACAGAGTTCAAGCAATTTGGTATGCACATTATAGGAAGACAGCCATTTTAGTCTATCGTAGACAAAAATCACCAGTCTGATATAGGATTTAAATTGGGATGAGGGGTTTGAAGAGAAGACAGGTTTTTTATGCTGATGCAGATTACATGTGAGACAGATTAGAAGTACCTTATCAGATGACACTTGTAATGTGTTAAAACACATTGCTTTTGTTGAGACCTTTTGAGATAGCCTGAAATTTTTTGATGTATGTGAGTTCAGCAATTTCTCATTCATTCATGCTGCTAGAGTCTCATTTTTCCAAAATGGTCACTTTAAGATCTGCAATAAACTGCCCGGGAGATTGAAATGCTGTGTGATATTACTTAGTCCTTGTTTTGAGTCCTGATATCAAATTTGTGTCCATTATTTTGTGCAAAGTTTGCTCTACTAGAGGGGCACTGCTAGCAAATATCACATTAGAAGTTCTCTAAAGTACTATCTGGCTATCTCAAAATGTCTCAACACACACAATATTTTAAATGTTTTTAAGACATTATGATTGTCAATGGGTAAGGTACTCATAATATAACGTGTAATCTGTATATGCCTAACCACCCTGTGCTCTCCTCCTTTCCCTCTTCCCTGCCTCATCCCAATTTAAACTCTACATCATTAGAATTACATGCATCTGATGAAGCGAGCTGTAGCTCACAAAAGCTTATCCTTTTGTGTAAAACTTGTTAGTTGGAAAAGGTTATACCAGGCTTTGGATTTTTGGTAGGTACAGCAAATAAAAGTCATCATCCCAGGCACTAGTTTAAAATTTGAGATAACCACAATTATCTTTTTGTAGTCTGTTATTTCAAAACAAGTTCAATTAATGGGTTATGAAGCTGGCTTGTTAAACTAGCCAGACTTTGTTACAAATCTCAATATCTAGCTTATCTATAGTGTAGGGTTTTGTAATGATTCAAGTAAAAGAGGGTTTTTTGTTGTTGCTATTTTACTGAAATAATACTTACTGAACCAATTTCATTATGCAAAAAGACAGGAGCCCTGCATGGAAACTTAGCCTGAAAGCTAACTGAGGCTGTTGATACTGTGGAAAAGGATGCTATAAAAGAAAAAGAAAAAGCAATAGGCTTAGTTTTTCATTAAGACGCTGAGTGCACTTCTAAACCTCTGTGTTAAGGTAAGGTTTTCTACACAAAACACCTTGGGGGTGATCAAGACACTTACCATGAGGCGAGAGGTGGCGCACGGGTCTTGCTGGCTGGAGGGGCTTACCAATCAGTCTCTTAGTTTCCATCTGTTAAAACACTTGGAGATGCCATGCTATAAAATAAACAGCCCGAAAATACACACAGATGGAAACCGGGCGGTTGCTAATTCAGCACTTCCCAACTTCATGGCCACTCAACCGGACTTTACGCGCCAGCCCCAAACGCTCTCCCATCTTCCTACGCGCCCATCCCGCCCACGAAGGGGACCAGCGTTAGCGACTGGGATAGCCTAGGAGGAGGCTGCAAGATGAAGGAGGTGGGAGCTGGACCGGAGCGTCTGCGAAACTCCTCAAGGAGCTGCCCCTCGAAAGCCCCCAAGTTCACCCCGGGACCTTAGTAGGTGTTAAAAACGAGAGAGAAAGCGGGCTCCCGGGGAATGGCGGGAAACCGCGAAGGCTCTGAGGGGTCTCATAAAAGCGCTACAGAGTTCGCACGGAAGGACGGCCTCCCGGGCGACGTTTTAACCACTAAGCTGAGGAAGTATTTTCCCAGAGCCGAAGAACGAAGCCCCGAAACAGCCGCGGCCCCGGCGCGCCACATGCGCGCACGTGCGCATGCGCGGTCCCTTTTCTGGCGCGCCCTCGGCGCTTCTCTGGCCGGTAAGGCCGTCGCGTTCGACCCTTTCGTTGGCGGACGGCCCCGGCCCCGGCCCCCTCCCGGCTCTTAGCGAGGCCCGCTCACCGGCGCTGTGCGCTCTCACCCCGGGAGCAAGAGCAGCGCCGCCCGTTCCCGCGAGCGCTAGAGCCGTCTTCGAGAGGTAACCGGACGGGGCAGCTCGGCTGAGTGACGGCCGGAATGTTTGTTGGCGGAGAAGCAGCTAACCGCCTCCTCGCGAGTCGCCAGTATTCTAAAGGCGCGCGGGGAGCCTGGCGGCAGCCGTTGTTATCCTTCTCCATCATCATCACCACCATCATCGCCCTTTTGGCTTTGCGGCCACAGACCCTTTTTAAAAAGTTGGCTTGAAAACTGCAAGGACTCGTCCAAGCAGTCACTGCA